TTTTCTGAAAAGATTAACAGTGAAAAAAGCTAAGATTTTCAGAATAAAGTAAAATTCTGCTTTGGTTTAATATAAGTAAAAGAACTGAAAAACAGAGAGAGGAATTTGAAGGGACCCTAAATTTCAGAAGCTAAGCAGAAACTGACAAAAGAAAGAAAATACAGAGACACGCACTCTGTCTCTCATTCCTTAATTTTTATTGGGATTAATAACATTTTTAGTCCTTTGATTATTGATAAAATTTAATTTTAATCCTTGTAATATCTGATTAAGTACATTTAATCTTCAATAACTTAAAAAGTTCAATTTTAATTCCTTAACTTGTGGATATTCATTAAAAAAAAAACTTGTGGATATTCACAAAATTTCTAAATTAATAATGATTTCTCTTATTTTATACTCCGATGTCCAATAATAGTTGTTTATTATTGACTTGAGACAGTAATTAAGAAGCAGTAAATGATAGGAATACTTTTACCAAATCACACTTATTAAATATACGTCATCTAAATGTTGAAAAATGAATTGTATGTAATAGCAAAGGTAAAATAGATACAAAGTGATAAATTATTCATTGATTTTATAAACTAGACAATTATTGTTTGACATCCCAAAATAACATAATGAACAAGTAAAAATGAATGGGAGGAATATTTGATAATAATATAGTTGAAGATTGGCTAGATTTTCTTTCTTTTAGAGACTTTTTTATATTATATTATGATTACGATCATTCGTCTTTTCATCACTTTTAGAGTGTAGACTTACTTCACATTAGTTTGGGTTGGTGAAATATTTGGTAGAGTGTATTACAGAAAGTAATGCTTGCATTAGCTTAATGTATTAGTAGTATCTTGTTTGGTACACTTTTCTAATTTATGCATAACTAATGCTTATATTAGTAATACACTCTATTGTGTATTGAAAAGTGTATTCTAATACCATCTATTTCTATGCATTAGTAATGCAATGGTTAAAGACACAATTGCCCTCAAAAGCTTTTTTTACATCTTTCCACTATATTTGTGGAGGGTACTTTTGTAAACAAACATTTTTTCTAAAAAAAATTATGTAATGCATAATATTTTTAGTACACCAAATCAAACATTGCATAAAAAAAATCTCATCATAACTAATGCAAGCATAACTAATACAAATATTACTAATACACTATATTTTGCATTATTCTTATACACTCTACCAAACGACCCCTAATTATCCGACAGCATAACATGTTTTGTTCTCATTATAAAAAGAAAATAGGTATATATGGATGTTACCTGATTTGAAAATCAACCCAATATGATATATTTCATGTATGAAGAGATCAAAGGCATATATGTTAATTAATTGAAAATTAAATATATTAATTCGTATATTATTGGAATTGAAATCAAAATCAATAAGTGAAGGACCAAAAATGCTATTATCCTCTCTTCTGTGGTCTTTAAAAGCTCTAAAGTATTTGTTTATATTTCTATTCCTTTACTGTGCGTCTTTAAAGCTCTTGGAATAAAGTTTAAAATCAGACAAGAAAAGTTACAATGGAGTAAATGACAAGCTAAATTGACCAAAATTTAATGAGAAAACATGTGGAAAATTTTTGCAAAGAAAAAAAAAAGATGGCATAATTTATTCTACATTAAGAAAAAAAGAAAGAAAGAAAACAATATATTATGATCCATTTTAATCCTTCAAGCAAGTTTTAATTTTATAGGGTAAAGATTCAAATTTGTCACTAAACTTATACGAAATGGTTTAAATATTATCATTAGTTAATAGTTAGGATTAAATCCATCATTGTGATTTACCAAATTAGCTCAAACATGCCCTTATATATTTACGGACAAAACATTAGTTGTTCCTAAATTAATTTTGTAAAACTTTTTTTATTAATATAGTTATTTAGTAAAAAAAATAAATTGTAACTTACGAATATTTTAGATCATAATCTAAAAATTCTTTTTAAACAAACTAAAAATAAATAAAAAATATTAGACCATCATCTAAATTATTTTAGAGTCAAACGACAACTAATATGTTATGATGACCTTAAAAAGTATTTGAGAAAATAACTATTAAACTCTAAATACAATGATAGCACATTGGGATTACCACGTGCCCCACATATGGCAAAATTTTAGTCCACCCTTTTTCTTTTTTCGCTTTTAAAGTTCGACTAATCTGTATTCGTGTTAAAAAGTCACACTTTAGAATGTCAAGTGTTTTCTATTTAAAATTCGAATCTCAAATCTTGATTTCGAGTTCTAAATATGGAGTCACCTAAATCGCTTTACCTTTAAAGTAAATTTTTTTAGTATAAATCTAAATTAATCGAATTGCAATATTAAACACCAGGATTATTTTTTTAACATATACAATATGGTCCTAAAGTTCCTATTGTCTAAGCCCTAAGATATTAAATAATATATTAGCTCAGCAACGTGCCATCTCCTATGTGTATCCTTAGAAGAAGGCAGGTTGGCCATAGAGACCAGGGTCATTTTGGCCTCTTCTACCAACCAGTCCCTACTTACATTATTTTTCTTTTGTTTTTTCTTGGATCGATCGATACTCATATTTAAATTCGATTAATTTAAATTTGTGATATATAAACTTAAAAAGCTTCGCCACCAAGATATTTTTTCTTATATTTGAAGCTTGAACTCAAAATATTTAATTAATAGTGTAATTTTTTTATTCATATCACCATGACCCTTAGGGGTCGTTTGGTTTGAAAATGAGTTATGATGGGATAAGTTATGTTGGGATAAGTTATGTTGGGATTAGTTATGATGGGATAAGTTGTGTTGGGATTATTTTTTATTGAGTGTTTGGTTTGTTGTATTCAAAATAATAAATTTTAAGAACAATTTATTTGTTTACAAAAATGCCCTTCATTAATGTAAAAAGTGATATAACAAAAGGGTTGAAAGAGACATTTTTGTCATTTACCTATTTTATCCCGGGATAAGTTATCCCGGGATTACTATACCACCCAAGGAGAGGGATAACTTATCCCGGTACTAATTATTAATCCCGGGATAAGTTATCCCGAACTTGCCAACCAAACAACAAAATAAGCGGTACTATAATTTAATCCCGGGACTATTTGTTACTATACCTCACACCTTGAGCTAAGAAATATTTTTCACTTTTTTAATTTTTTTTTAAAAAAAACTAATTTGTGAGTCACATTTTAGATAACAAATTGCAAAGACAGTGACAAGGTTACTCACTCTATCACACCAGGTCAGTTTTAGAAATTTACAACATTTTTCTCACAAATTGATTTTTTGATAAAATAAAGGAAAATTAAAAAACTTCTACACTTGTGTTGCTGCTTTCTGCTCAAAATATTCAAGAAAAGAACATGTTTAAGCTAAAAATGAGTTCAGATTGTACACTTAACTAACATTTTCAGTTTCTCCAAAAAAAAAAGAAGTAATAGAAGAATAGTGTTTGCTTTGAATTCCCTATCATTAACAAGTTGACTTTAAACTTTGTAAGTCACATGGAGGACCAAAACCAATAGGATAAGTGAGTATGTATAGACAAAGTATTGGAAAAGTTACTATATTGTTCGGTCGACTAATTTATCAATATGATTTAATAGTGTATATATTAGTATATATATTGTGTATAGATATGTATAGTACAATATATTTAATATAGAATATACACAACCTATATACTTCGTATATATTTTGTAAGCTAAACCACCCACAACATTGAGCAATAATTATTCCTTAAATTATGAATATTATATCATGGTTGTTGATTCATCAAAACTCAATTCCTTGCCATCAAATATATATTTTTCAGAATTTAGAATCTTTAAATTTTGAATTTGTCCATATTTGCCTCTAGAAAGTAGAACCTATATTCATTGAGTCACTTTTACAACACAGTCTTTATGACTTTAGAATATGATACTCCATGACATTAGTGGGAGGCAACTATGAAGTTGATTGTTTAAGGATTTGAATTTTCTACTACTAGTTATTTAGGCTTATCCTATTTAGGTCACAACAAGGGGTCCCAAATCTTGTTTTTTTCAATATTTCACTCAAAACATTATTTTATTTTATTGGAGTAGGACTTGGAGTGGGGGTAGGAGTGGGGGTGGGGGTGGGGGTAGGGGACCAGTATAGTAGCCAATTCCAAAAGGGCATGGATCTTTGGAAACTTAAATATTTATGTACCATTAAGGATTAGTTTATTGCAAGTACTAGTTCTTGCTCTACTACAATAATGCAAGTCAATTTCATCATGCACATTTTACAAGATTGACAGCTTTTTCATGAAGAAGTACAGCTGCTTGTGTCTCTTGTTTTTAAAACCAACATTAAAATCTGTTATAGGAGTATCAAGTAGACAAACACCAACTTTTTAGTGATCCAATTTTCGTGGACGTTTATTTGTAGTTATTTTTCAAGTGACCTAATTGTGTGAAAAACTTTTACAGTGTCAATGTATATAACAACAACATCAATATACTCAATGTAGTTCCACAAGTGAGGTCTAGAGAGGGTGGTGTGTACGCATCCTTACCCCTGTGAGGATTCAGAGTTGTGTTGATGTTTCAGAGATTTATAATCCAACTATAGGGCCTATTTGGATTGGCTTTTGGCTTATGACTTATAAGCCAAAAGCCATAAGTTAGGATTTCTAACTTATGACTTTTGGCTTATTTTTGTTATTTTGGCTTTAAAATAAGTGCTTATAAACACTTTTTAACTTTACCCAAACACTTCAAAACTGCTTAAAAGCTATTTTGGCTTAAAAGCACCTAAAATAAGTCAATCCAAACGGGGGCACTAAATTCACAGTTCCCACTGAAATCTTTCTTTTTAAGTCGAAAGGAGAGCAGTGGGAAAAGAGCATTTCGAAAGTACTTTACTTCAATCCTAGTACTGAAAGACGTAACTTCAGGAGTAGACTTCGGAATTACATCCACCCTTCCCTTTTTTGGGGAATGGTTGCAATCACAAGCAAGTGAAGCTAGGAATCTATTGACAAAGTTCATGCCACGACGATCTATATGGAAGGGTAGTTTTGTATAATAAGGCTAGCTTCCTGCTGCCTACTTTCAGATGTTGTAACAACTACCACTAACTCATAACTCTGCTGTAGAAAAAAGAATATATGAACTTTGATAAAAGTTTGTCTTCTATGTTTAAGTATAGAAAAACCAGATTTTGGTATGTTGTATGGAGTGGATATGTATGACATATTTGCCTGGTATGTACACAGATGAATAGAGTTTTTTCGTTTCCGCGCCTCCTCGGATACCACATTGCATATGTGAGTGTTACATAGGAGCAAGTAAGTTGAAATGATCCCAAGCTTCCTGCATCAAACATACTTAGCACTTTTATGATTCAACAATATAAGCAAAAGGATTTAGTCTCATGAAACATGGGGCAATTTAGTAGCATGGTAAAGTAATACTCCCTCCGTTTTAATTTGTTTGTCTTAAGTTCCCTTTTTTCAGAGAATGTCTTTTTCTTTTTTTGGCAACTCTTTAATTCTAGCTTTCCACGTGGCATGTTTGAGACCACTAGATTAAAGAACATTTTGGTACATTCTATCCATCTTTAATTTAAGATCACAACATTCAAAAAGTCTTCTTTACTTTCTTAAACTCCGTGCCAAATCAAAACCGGATAAACAGTATTGAAACGGAGGGAGTAGTAGTAGAATTATGATGTATGGAACAAGCATTGACTTATATGTTTAAACTTGCAAGATTTTCTGCAAACTTCATTTGCATGGTGGTTTCGTGTAGGGTTCGCATGCTACAGAGACATGTCACAAGAGGAAATGCTGCAGTTACATTCACATGATAATAACGTTGTTATACTTGGCTTCTCAAACCAGTAACCACTGGATCCTAAATTTTACCATAAACAGAATGTAAGCCTCACCGATAACCCCTCTTCATTGTTTAAATTGAAGCACTATGACGTACAGTTGCCGACCCCAATTTGTTTGGAATTGAGAGTTAGTTGATTGATTGAAATATGAAGTACGATACTAGATGGGATAAGAGAGTTAATAGGCCGCTCTAGGTAAATGTTTGTTTTCGTATATCTAGTGCAGATGCTAGGACTTTTGGCAGTGGAAAAAGTACTACTTGACAAAATTATAAGGTACCTGCAGAATATCAAAAACTTTTTCTGCAATGTATTTCTGGTGAGCAGCAGCTCCTTTTTGTTGGAGTTTATCTGGATGTATGTAGAGTAACGCTCTCTGATATGCCCTCTTCACTTGATTTCCTTCCATTAAATCCATTAAAGCCACAGGCTTCCATCCGCTATCAGGCCATAAAACCTATTTAAAAATGATTGTGCTTTAAGAATTAGCGAATCCCGACCTTAAGCAAAGGCATGTTTCTTTCCACAAATATAACAATAGAAACAAATTTTGTAAAACTTCAAATCATCATCATCAACTGAATCCTCAACATAAGCTACAGGAATTAAGTAAAAGAGGAAACAATCTTACTAATTGTAATGTTGAGAGCAATGAACGAATATTTCCTTTCCTCCCTTGTGACCATTGCTTAATTTTAGCATCTGAAGCCTATAAGTTCATAGAAAATGATTACAACCATGTTACGGATGCTCGAATGCAACAGAGTTACTGAGAAAAAAGAAATAAGTTACTTGGTTGTCCTCGGATTTTCCATTAGTTTGTGAAGCTGTGTCCTGATCTTCAAATAATTCTTCCACCTGCGAAAAGGTAAACTATCTCATCAGTATCACTTTTACGAGGCATTCCACAAGTATGCTGTCCTGTTTGATCATCGTAAACGTTAGTTGCAACGATCTGAAGTCATATGGCCTGTGACCAACTAAGGCACCAAACTGTACAAGTTGCAGACTCTAAAATTGGATTCTTCAGTTTTCTCTAATATCATTTCCCTCTTCTAATCCTAGCATTATTATTATTTTTTGGTTATGGAATAAAATTTCAATGCCAGATACATAAATTCTCACAAACAGTCAATTAATGAAACTTAGAGAAGTATACATACCACATAATTTCCACCAAAGAGATCATCCATGCTTCCAACTGAGACTTTTCGATCATCTCGTCTTGACTCTGAAATAAACATAGAAATGTGGAATTGATTTAAGGACTATAACTGCAAGCGGTGATGCTGCCAGTACCAACGGTTCTGTAACATGTGTAAGGATACTGTGGAAATGAACTATTGAAATTGAAAGAAAAAGACTAATTTAACTAAATTGAGAACAATAATGAAGAGTTAGCTGCTTATAGTTAACCTGAAATGATTTACCAACTTTTCTCTTTAGCAATATATTTTTCAGAAGAGAATAGGATCGGACATTCTCATGTCTCAACCAAGGTAGAAGCAGGTACAATATAAGTAAAGAAACTGAAACAAAGTTCATCATTCAGTGGGTCGGGATTCTTGTTTCGACAAAATAAATATTCCCTCTGTTTCAATTCGTTTGTCTTACTTTCCTTTTTGTCTGTTTGATAAAGAATGTCTCTTTCCTTTTTTGGCAACTCTTTAATTCTAAATTTACATATGACATGTTTAAGACCACAGGATTAAAGGGTATTTTGGTATATTCTATATATCTGTAGTTTATAACCACAAGATTCAAACGTCTTCTTTACTTTCTTAAACTCTATGCCAAGTCAAAACTAGACAAACAAATTGAAACGGAGGGAGTATAACTTACCATTAGTTGATGGAGCGGCCTTTTGATCTGAATAGTCTTTAGTCTGAGGAATCTCTGTTTTCCTTTGGGAATATTTAGTTGTTTTCTCCTGCTTGTTAAGATTTTTGTCTACCTGCACAAAGCAAGACACGGAATCAGAAATTTTACAGATCACTACCAATAGGACAACGATGAACCTACTGTCCCCGTGCCTCCATAAGTTGGGACCTCAAAATGAAAGTCTAATCCAATAAAGGAAGATTTTAGAAATCATAGGTGTACTAAGGAGGAGTTTGGTACATTAGGGGCTGCATCTTGCATCTTGTTAATCGTGGGCAACTGAACTTTCTCATTTGCTTTTGGCATGTTATAACTCTTTTCACTTTCAACTCCCCTATTGCTGCTAGCTTTCCATTTAAAGCTTTTACTTCTACTATCGCCTTCTTGGGGCGTTGAATGAACCTCATGGTTGAACATCTTTACAAAGTCTTGAACCTTTCCTTTAATTCCAGCTTTAGTAGAATTCTCGGCTGATCTTATGGGAGAACTTGGCAGACTACTTCTGTTTACTCCTGTATCTACTACAGTTTTTTTATCAGAACCTCTCTTCCCTTTTCTCTTAGCTTGTGAATCTCTTTTTTGTGTGTTTTCGCTAACTTCAACATCACCTTTCTTCAACTTCTTATCAGCCTCATCATCAATTTTCTTCACATTTTCCTTGACTTTAACATTTGTTTTTGCTGCTTGCGTAGCTTTGACTGTGTTACTCTTCCTTTCTGTTTCTTGTGCCATCTTAACGTCGCCTGCAAAACAATAAAAGACATTTTTTTATGTAAAGCAAGTACAAGTGTCTGTACTTTCCAGGTTGCAAATTAGAAAGTACCTTTTTCATCAGCCACATCAACTAAAAATGCACGTAGAGGCTTCAGCTCTTGTTTCTTGGTTTCTTCCGAGTTCTTTGTAATTTCTATCTGGATTCCGTCACCTAAACCTGTCTTCTTTCTGAATTGAGGTTCTTCTACTCTTTCAGTTGGTAACAAAGTGTCATAAACTCCAACATCATCTTTAAAACTCTGAACAGATTTTGACTTTGGAATGCCGAGAGTTTCCCCAACAGTAACATTTGCCTTGTCACTGCTCTCAGGTTTCTTACTTCTTGTACTAAAGGAGTGAAAATTTGCATCCCTGGAGAAGTTGACGTTTCCACCTAATGGCGAGCTGGTATCCGTGTTGTCTTTCTCCATCCTTGCATTGGAGCTAGGACATTTTTCAAAATTTATCTTCTCTTTAGACTTGAAATGCTTCCCTCCCTTCAGTGACACAAGCATAGGAACTCCTTTGCCTGCCCACTTGTATATGGAGAAATGAAATTGATATTCACTACTCGAATCTTCCATGTTTTCTCCGTTCTTCTTTAGATTCCCTCCTATATCTCGCTCATCGGATTCAGACATGAATCGTAAATCATCACCAATAACAGTACCTTCACGTGATAATGGACTTTGTCGATAGAATACAGGAGCATCATTTTTCATCTCTTTTTCTCGCTTCTTGTGTGGACTATGACTTCCCGAAGCAAATGTGGGAAGATCTGTGCCTTTCGTCAACTTGGCAGGAAGGCTGGACAGGAAACAAACACTTACAACCAATCTATGAAGCAACAATATGACAATTGCACTACTGCTTAGAAAATCCGACCACTACTACTACTGAAGGTAGAACTAGAATTGATACCAGCTAGAGACAGCAGTTCAGAACAATTCCAATAGACATACAATCGGCATATATATACCAACAACAACATACCCAGTGTAATCCCACAAGTAAGGTTTGGATAGGGTAGAGTATACGCAGACCTTACCCCTACCTCATGAGGTAGAGAGGCCATTTCCGAACAACCCTAGGCTCAACAACAGCAAATCAAAACAGTTATGAAAAAGGAAATATGACAGTAAAACGGACACGCCAACTAATAAGAGAAACAGTTCAGAGCATCCTGAGAAAAAGAACAGCAGCAACAACAAAACAATGCAAAACAGAACCAGCATATACCATTATTCAATACTAGCATGGTGCCCAAAAATGGACAGCTAAAGAACTATATATAATCTTCATTGACTCAATATCAAATAGAGTACATGTTAACATTCTTTCCTTTTTCTTTACAGTGTAAAGGCCAACTACTCTACTATAAAAAAATTCAGCCTGTTTTCCTTCTTTGCTGAGACCGGAAGTGGTGGATATCAAGATTATTACAAAATCCAGAATTTCTTTCTAGATTTATAGGCCTACACGTACACCTAACCGAGAAAACATAATCCATGTAGAATTCAATTTCTATGTACGGATATGTATAGATTTTTTACACTATTTAGGTTAAGTTGACCTACAACAACACAACTTTTCACAGCAACCATGATATAACCTATAAAATATTATAATCAGGCATACAAAGAATGAACTTTGAGCTTCAGTCAACTCCAAAAGCTAGCTCATGAGATGGACCAATTCTTTCTCATCTCACCGATTTGAGACTCAACACCCCTCTCCCCCTCCCCTTCCCCGCCCACACCCAAGACTGAACATCTAGAGCGTGGACAAATTTAAGATGGGGCCCAACATCAGGTAAACAATGAATTGAGATGAGTCTGACTCTGATACCATGATAAAAGAAATGGACTTTGGGCCAAAATGAATTGCAGAAATCATTTTTCCCTCATCCCACCATTGTGGGACTCAAAATAACACCACTAATAGCTAAAAATTCTGTACACTGACCGTATATATAAATTAAATACTTGTATATAAAAGAAAAAGAGGTACATAAAGTACCTGAATTGAGCTGGGAGTGAAGTACCAAAAGCTTCAATTTTTGGTGACAAAGGTCGAACAGGGCTTGAACTGTAAGATTTTTCCTCAACTTTAAATATATCATCATAGAAATCACCACCTTGATTCCGCCCCCTGTTAGCATTTTCTTCCCCGAAAACTGGCTTTTCATTGAATCCATTCCACGAATTTCGCGATACACCTGCTGAATCCTCTTCAGATTCTACTGAATCATTGAAACTGTGCCTTGTTCTTGCTTCTTGTACTGAAAATCGCCTCGGTGGACCTCCGAAAACATCGTTAAAATCCATGTCCATATCACTTGGTGAACCCTCAAATGATCTTTGTGGACCATAATCAACTAAAACATGTTCCTTTTGTGAAATTCTCTCCATAGAAAAAACACTTAAACTAATTATAACCGCCAGATGTATAATCAGTGCATATTCTATGTATATCAGCCGATCCCAAATTCAAATACAAAATTTGGCGGGAATTTGTTGAAACTCCAATTTCATTGAAGAACATATGGTGGAAGCCATTAATGCAAGTTTGAAGTGTACTTTGGTTTTTGAATGTTATGATTGTTGACGAAAATGATATGTGTTTTTTTTTTGTTAAATGCAAAACTATGAAAATTATGTGGATGGAACTTTTTTTTATGAACAGAACAGAAAACAGGTAAGTGGGGTTAGTACATTATGTGAATAGACAACATATCCAATACTTGAAGTTTAGTGGCAAATTGAAGCCACACAGTATATGTTGGTGAGATAATGTTGTGGTTGTAAATAGTGGATGAGAAAAGAAGAAAATATTGCCAAGAAAAGACAAAAGGAAGAAAGAATAATAGCCTCACTGGCAAATGTCAATTCTATTTTTCATTGCTAAATTTACACTAATGTTTGGTGAGACAAATTTTTAAGGGTTTTTGAGTTTTTTCAATTTTGGTGTGTGATGAATTTTTAGGACCACTTATTGAATATGTGAAGGGAGTTCCAAGTGTTTTTGTTGCATTTACAAAACAACCCTATTTACTTTCTTCTCTTGAACATTTTTTTTTCAAGGTAGTGTCCGGATCAATTTACGACTATTTCACCGGGAACCTCTTATGTTTCACGAATGACTAAAACTCACAACCTTCACTGGGAACCTCTTATGTTTCACCATATACCGGATGGCTAAAACTCACAACCTTCGGGTTGGAAGTGAGGGATGCTTACCATCCAAGCAACTCCCTCTTGTATATATTAGATAACTCTCTAATTCCAAAATTCTACATAGCATGATTAATAATCTGTTTAAGATCATCAAATTCAAGAATCTTTTTTTTTAAAAAAAACTCTTCAATCATTCAACGATCTGTTACCATTTTGCTATGTAGTTTTGTTTCTTCAAATGCTGGAATAACAGTAGGGACAAATGCTATGTTTATAAAGTAATCAATAATCAATAATGTATGAAAACATAAGAAGTTCAAGACAGTAAAACCCTACCACTACTAGCACCTGACACAACAGGAGTGAACTATCATGTTTAGGAGAAACTGAAAGTACAAAAGCAACTAATAAATATTCCCACCAGTCCCAATCTATCAAAAAATTGAGATATTCTGTCCTTTTCACAGTTTTCCAGCACTTGATACTAGGATCTCATCAATACTAATGAAGAACTATAAATTCCAGCATGATTTGCTGATACGAAAAATGAAATAATCTCGAGATACTATAAAGTTCAAAACATCTCCAGGGGATATTACCTCAAAAATAGGCATTAGCATCTAACACAAAAATGATTTAAATGCCCAACAAAGAACTACGAGGGATTAGTTTCCCCGAAAAGGAATGCTGGTTGAATCTTGTATATTATCTAATGTCTCGACCTTCAAGGTCGTACTATACTATTGACAAGAAATTCTTGTATGATAAAGAGGAAAAATGGGATCCCATAAAAGCTTTCTGCCTGGCTTGAAGAAGGTTGTTCAGTTGACTTCTAATGAAGTTGGTAGGATCTGTAATGTTCCATAGTCTATACACTGTAACCATTTGGGTCGAGTAATTTTTGTTCATCATTTGGCTTGTCAATCGTGGAGAGTTGAATATTTTGTTTAGAGTTCATTTTATTCCACTCATTCTCTACACGGAAGAAAGCCCACTGGAAACGACGGAAGATCTCAAGCGCGGTTATTGCAAACACTGTGAGATAATTGTGTCGGAGATGGGAAGAAAGCTTGTATGTCCACGTGCATCGCAGGATGAGGTTGGTTCCAATTACCCAAAAGTAGACCTGCAAGTTCCCAATGGTCAGAGAACTACACCCCCAATACTTTATGATAAGAAATTTATCAGAAATGCCAACTTAGAGGCTATCAAGATCTTCATCTATGGAGGGTATTGTAATGTTGGTTAAAATTATCAAGAAAATCTAACATCAATTCCAGCTTCAATCAGATTTATGAAAATAAAGGGACCACCAATAGAATCATCGAATTTTCCCTCAACTTTAGTCTAGAAAAAAAAAATGTCAATGTGTAATACACAAGAAACTGGTAAATTGACCAACCAGTAGAATGAACTTACAAAGTTATGGAAGCAGTAGTTATAAGCAAAAGGCATAAGCTTACCCATTTCCGCCCGTATAACAAGTATGATAATGCATTTGGTCTGCTGAACTTGAAAATCCGAGTAAAGCAACTAGCAGAAAGAAGAAAAATATTTGAGTTAACAAGAGAACAATCTCAGAAAGACTCATCTAATAAAAGTAACAAGTGGTATGTGGCAGACTATTATAAATGTGTGATTAAAGTAAAAAACATGGGAATTGATTCATGCAATCGATTTTGACACATCTCCTCCAAATCATCATTTAAACCATTACTGTGATTCACCCTTCCTCCTTTAACCCTTATTTCTATCTCCTATAGCCTCTTTGTAACCGAGAAATCCCCCAGGGCAAACTGGCCAAGTTTTGAAACTCAGCGAACAATGAGCCTACCCCTTTATCCTTCTCCACTTAATTACCAGGTTTTGTGTTCATGGCAGGGAACGACCATGTGACATGTGCCTAAACCACATATCACACTGGGCTCTGAACAAAGCCCTTGGGCCCCATCTCCTATAACTATTTTGTCTCACCAATCCCTCACTATTTTCATTTCAAGTGGAATTTATGCTTAAATGGTGATTTCAAGAAACAAAAACACAGATCTGATACGATTTTGTTTACGTACAATTTCTTGTTTGTTTGCAAAAAGTAGCACATGCTTACTCCTGTCATACTCAATAACATGCTGTAAAGTTCAACTCAACTTCAAAATATTCGTTCTCCTTTTTTCTCTTTTGAACATATTAGTGGTGTCCATGTTAGCTTGTGTGCAACCCATCCAGTCCATCAACACAAACTGCCCATAATCCAGATAATCAAACCCACAAATGTTGGAGTAGATGGACTCATACCGAGTATCGTAGCTGGGATTAGAACCTAGGATCTCTAGGTTGTTACTCCCATGCCTCGACCAATCAGGCATCCCCTTATAATCTTATATTCTAGTATCTCTGTCAACCTTTTTATCAATAAGGTAGTACTTTTGTCATTTTTGATTCAATATTTTGTGTGACTTCAGTGTTTACAATTCTTGATTTGATGAGCCTTCACCCCTTATTTTATTGTCTGAGTTTGTGAAATGTATATGCTCCTTTAACAACTTTAGGAATTCAATGAAAAAACATGGATTTCAAGAAGGGGTTTTTTGTGTAGAATAGTGGAAGTAGATGAAGGATGCATCAAGAGAGATAGATTAAGGAAATAGATGGAAGGAGGCATCAAGAGAGAGAAAAAGTATTAGGACACAGTGGTAGAGTAGGAAAGTGCAGTGTACAAATCAAATTACACAAGATTCTATGCAAAATAGGGCAAATCACAAACATGAGAACTCAATATCCAATCTCTATGCAGTACTTTGCAAAGCTGAAGAGTAATATATGTTTTAATAGATTACCCAATCAAATTTCTAGGAGTACATTTAATAAAGTAATAAACATGTACTTTAAAATGCGGGAAGGTAGAGAAGTTTGATTGGAAGGATGCTACATCAATAAAAGGTGGTACTTTGTCAAATTTGTCATTTTAAAAACAAAGTCAGCATTTGGGATGCTAAAATATAAGGCATGTCAATTGAAACAGCTGAAAGGCAGCAAAATCAAAGAAAAATATAGATAACCAAAACAAAGTGTGAGTCAGATGAGCAATAACTGGGTAAAAAACAATTAAAGCATTAGTGCCCACATGCGGTCCGAAAAATTAGCTAAAGCTCCGAATAATTAGCATGAAAAAGATGTCACTGACCTCAAGTCCCAATCCCTTGTCAGATCCCAATAGAATGAGTAGAGCGAGTTCACCACACCAGACAGAAGCCATAAAGGACGATAAATATTAACCCAGTTGTCAGGGAAGACGTGATACTTAAGGGCTGAGAGAAATATCACAGGTACTGCAGTCGAATATTTCAACGCTGAAATGAAATGTTAATGATTAGCACTATTAAGTATCGACCCAATGTTAAGCTGAAACCTAAATAAGTAAAAGCAAGTTGAAGAGAGAGAGCTTATGTATAAGACCACCCTTAACAAATGAAGAACTTGGAACATTACTACTTTCCCTAGGGTCAACATTGAAATGGAGTAACAATGTAAATTATGTGAGACACTCCAGGATACTTCAGAGACGTCTTTCTTTTAGGGAGCAAAAAATGTAAGCATAGAACGAAACCAAGATGACAAAGAGCAGGGTAAGCAAAGCATTAAACTATTCATCATTTTTCACTCCATTCTCCCAACAGTTGCTGTTCACAATGAATCAGATTTCTTCCAAGTTTTCAGGCTTTAATCTTCAAATCAGCACTAAAACTTTCTACCACTATGTAAAACCCTCAAAGCCAACCCGTTTCCAGAAAATTTCAGCCCACCAAAGGAGCCTCAAAGCCAACCAGGTATTCTTAGTTCCACAGTTAAATGAAGGCTAGTGATCTCTCTCCCCACTTTTCTTCATCAGCTCTTGGAGTTTTAATCATTGTTAAAAGCAACTAATATGCACTATCTATTCAGAGAGAAATTGTTCCTTTCAAAGTAAAGCATAAAAAAAATCTTTTAAGAGAAAATGCTGACTGGCATTAACCTACAAAGCAACTCACTCCTCCTTAGAAATAGAAAGACAAAAGACAAGACAGGAATTTACCATTCAACAGGGTAGTCTTCTCTCTAGTATCCTTATATTGCCGAAGACATTGAAACAGACGGAAAAGGTAAGGCAATACAAGAACAATGGGAATTGCAACAGCATGACTTCCACAAACAGAATCGGCTTCAAACCATGCAATGGTAGCAACCTGCTTATGCCATTGGTTATCTTACAGGTAATAGAGCAAGCATTCACAAAAAAACTCTACAAGTTAGCCAAATTCTAAAAGATTCTCTATTACAGCGGCAGCAAAAATATCAGAGCCTGGTTACCTACTCTTATATGTAAATATAGACATATATGAACTGAAAATTATTTGTAGAAAACACTGTCCTACCACTTCCTCAAACCCAGGGAAACAGCTCTCTTTCAATTATATAAATCCTTTCAAAGGGAGGACAATGCAGCTAAGTCTATACCTTT